TAGACTAAAGATCCAGGTAAACAATGAATTAATGTTTTCTGTTTCTTATAGCATTATAGTTTTGTCTTGTTTGTAGTGTGATCAACGTTTGCGTAAGTAGTAGATGTGTTAGGGAAGTAACACGTAACATTTTAATTATATTTTGCTGAAATGAACGAAATGACTCGAAAAAAGATTCGTTCATTTTGCTGAACGAGACTCAAAGGTCCGAGTCGGTAAAATGATCCGAACTTCCCATCACTAATACTGAATGTAGCTGAAGAATCTGGCGCATGTACCCCAACCTCAGTGTCGAGACTGCTTAAGGATACCTTAAAGATGGATAAAGATGTGCTGATCGACAGATCCCATCGCACCCTCCAGGCAAAACGGGCAGATGGTAAACCAAGAGCAATCATAGCAAAACTGCATGATTATCAAGACTGTGTCGAAATTCTCCGCCGTGTTCGTGAAACCGGATCACTTCATTACAAGGGTTCAACAATACTCATCTTCCCCAATTATCCACCGAGCGTGGCCCACGCAAGATCGGCATTTAACGAAGTCAGAAAACTACTACGAGGTAGAGAGGGTGTCCGCTACGGTATTCTCCACCCGGCTAAACTCCGAATCACCCACAACGGAACAGAAAAGCAGTTTCAGGATGCAGCGGAAGCTATGACTTATGTGAAGAATAATATTCTCTGAGGAGGCTCGATCACAAGGACTGAATAGTGAGCAAAATACCATGTTTGTATCTTTCCTCTGTCCCCACTGCATGCCATCAATTCTGAGTGAATATATAAACATTACACCTATGCAGAGACTATGGCTGAATGCATAACTTTGAGGACGAGGATCGAGAGATAATATTAAAAAAAAAAAATAATAATAAATATCCGACTTTATTGGTAATCATAGTTAGAATGTTAAAATTAGAAATAGTTTATTGGGATACCGTTATTGTTATTTCTTTTTGTTTATAATATTATGTAAATGTTACACTTCTAAACGCTTATCTATAAGTCACAAGTTTTAATAGTTGCTTGTAGACAGTATGCGCTAGGCCTTTTTTTATTTTATCTTTTTTTCATACCTGAATAATCAAAACGTTTGTCTGTTATGTTTGTGCAGAGCAACCTACGGAGCTAAAGTTCCCCAAAAAAGCACTTCATGTGTGGATATTGCTGCAAGGGGTTAAGTTTTCACCATGTTCTAGTTGGTGATTGGGAATGGGTAACTGTTGCACTTGATTTAATACTCCTTTTTTTTGTTTTTTGTTTTTTTGCATTATTGAAGGGGTCTCTTCTGCCTGTTTCAAATAAAACCTTAGTACCTAAATTCAAATACTCAAGGTTATATGGCTGAATCACAGAACGCTAGAGTCAACATATCAGGTATTTGCCAGGTAAATCTTGTAAGTTGGAATGTCAAGTCTCTAAATCATCCAGTGCAACGTAGAAAGGTATTTTCACACCTAAAGCAGCTAAATACAGATATCGCCTTCCTACAAGAAACCCACTTGAACACCTTTGATCACTTTAGACTAAGATGTGGATGGGTGGGGCAATTATTTCATTCTAATTTTCACTCTAAATCTAGAGGAACAGCAATTCTCATTAGCAAAACAGTCTCATTTGTCATGTCAAAAATTGAGGCTGACCCAGCGGGTCGTTATATAATAGTAGTGGGTAGACTATATAACACTCCAGTAGTTTCGGCAAATATATATGCACCTAATTGGGATGACAGTGCATTCTTTACTGGTCTTTTTTCCCGAATACCCAATATAGACACACACCATCTAATATTAGGAGGAGATATTAATTGTGAAAATATGGGCACAATTTAGAAGAAGTTTTGCACTCAAGGAATTATCAGTCTACACTCCCATAGCAAGAAATCACATGTTTACCCCTTCTATTATGGATGAAACCTTTAATATTTGGCCTGTGAAAGGTCTTAGGACACTAAAAGATATGTTTATTGATGGAGACTTTGCATCATTCAGTCAAGTGAAAATGAAGTTCCAAATTCCTGACTCCCACTTTTTTAGATATCTCCAGCTTCGTAGCTTTGTGTCTTCCTCATTGAGCCACTTTCCTTTGTTGCCTCCCTGTTCCCTTCTTGAGTGTATTATGGACCTGAGTCCATATTCCAAAGGAGCCATTGGTAAAATTTATTCTGTAATCAATTCTCATAACCTGGAATCCCTAGCTCAATTAAAAAGAAAATGGGAGGTGGAATTAGATATAGAACTCTCAGAAGACATGT